GATAACGCTAGAACATTCGACGGCAAGGGTATAAATGCCGACGCGCTTCGCCGCTTGTCAGTTGTTGAGTTGTTGATCGAAGGCCGACGCTGCGTTCGCCGCTATCAGTCCGAGACTGCTATCTGTGCAAGACTGCTGCTGTAATTAGGCTTTCCCTTTACCGGGCACAGGTTCGCCCAAATAAACAGTTAAATCCCTACACGAAGTTTTCCGTCTTTGGCCACGTCAAGATCCCGTGACATCTGGTGGAGGCGCTGCTTCGTTCATGTACCGGACGCCCCCGTCAAGCCGTGAACCCAGCCCCTTTCGCGTAGAAGACACCGACGCCAACCAAGAGCAGCGAACGAGCCGCCGACAGCAAGGTCTCCCACCGGAGTACGGCCTGCTACAAGACAAAGCGCGGAAGACCAAGACCATGACCTCGACTGCAGCGACAATGACAACCGGAGCGTCCCAGCCCGCGATCGTCATTCATCAACCCAGGGAACCACCAACGTTCCATGGCTCATCGTTTGAAGACCCGGAAACCTGGATAGAAACATACGACCGTGTGGCCGCCCTCAACCACTGGGACAACGAAGAAAAGCTGCGTCGTGTGTACTTCTACCTGGAAGACACCGCAAGGACCTGGCTAGAGAATCGGGAGTCCACGCTCCGAACGTGGGATGTCTTCTGCGGCGCATTTCTTCAAACGTTCGCAAGCGTCGCTCGCAAAGAGAGGGCCGCTGCTCTACTCGAGACCCGGGTTCAGCTACCAAATGAAAAGGTTGGAATTTTCACAGAGGAGATGACCCGCCTATTCCGTCACGCTGACCCAGACATGCCTGAGGAAAAGAAAGTTCGTTTCCTCATGCGAGGGGTCAAACAGGAGCTCTTCGCGGGACTAATGAGGAATCCACCGAACACTGTCCAAGAATTTGTATCCGAGGCGACCACCATCGAAAAAACGCTGGACATGCGCACCAGACAGTATAATCGTCGCCTGACTCCAGAATGCGCTGCTGCTCAAGCCAGTGACTCCGATGACCTGCGTGAAACGATCCGAGCGATCGTGCGGGAAGAGCTGCGCAAACTGTTGCCTTCGGCGCAGCCTCAAGTGGATTCGATCGCCGACATTGTGCGAGAAGAAGTCCGGCAATCGCTTCGAATTCCCGAAACACCGCCGCCCGAGCCAGAAACTATGAGCTACGCCGCTGCAGTGCGCCACAACGCTCCTTCTCGTCCACGCCAAAACGCCGCCCCGTCACACTTCCGTCGCCAGACGCCACCGCCGCCACCACCCCAACCGACGTCCTACCGTTCCCCAGCGGGCCAGCGCAGTGCACCGAGGAAGACTGACGTCTGGCGCACCCCTGACCATCGCCCGCTCTGCTACCACTGCGGCGAGGCCGGACACACATACCGCCGTTGCCAGTACCGACAGATGGGACTGCGTGGCTTCGCCGTCAATGCACCGCGTCCGCAGCCAGGAGATCGGCCACGTGACATCGCCGACTACCTGGCAGGAACGCAATGGACACCACGAAGTCCTTCCCGTTCGCCGTCGCCCAGCCGCCGCATGTCACCGCACCCCCGGCAGTACTCTGGTCCAACGCGGGGCCGGTCTCCTAGCCCGTATCCGGGAAACTAAGGGCAGCAACCGATGGAGGTGCGGTTGCTGTGCGACGAACTACCGAAGATCCTCCGACGACGACGCCGACGCGACGGAGCTTTTTGAACACAACCCCAACCAGGCAAAGCTCTGAAGGCAAAAGCTCACTTACCGAAGGTGGCCGGACGACGCAACATGGAAGCAGCGGAACAAGCCGACGCAGCCGTGACCCGACGCCACGCCCTAACTGTAATGCGAGACGGCGAACTAGCGACCTCGACGTTCTTATCGACGGCCACAGTGTGACCGCTCTCGTCGATACTGGAGCCGACTATTCTGTCATCAGTGGGTCGTTCGCCGCGAAGTTAAAGAAAGTTAGAACAGCTTGGAAAGGCCCTGAAATCCGCACAGGCGGAGGTCATCTCGTAACGCCTGCAGGAATCTGCACAGCGAGAGTCACCATTAACGGACGTATTTATCCTACAGACTTCGTAGTCCTACAGCGTTGCTCGAGAGATGTCATCCTTGGCATGGACTTCTTATGCCGCCATGGTGCTGTCATCAACCTAAAAACAAGGTCGATAACGTTATCCACAGAAGAAGCACTACCGCCGCGCACGCCGTCAGGACACCATGCCTTGAATGTGCTGGAAGAACAAGTCACCATTCCTCCTCGCTCAAGCGTCATTATTTCAGTCGGCGCTCCTAAATCACCTGACTTGGAAGGCGTCGTTGAAGGCAGTCAGCATCTGTTGATCACCCGAAATATTTGCGTCGCAAGAGGAATTGCAGAGCTGCGGGGAGGCAAAGCAACGGTTATGCTCACGAATTTCAGCAATGAGTACAAACATGTGAACAAAGGAACAACGGTCGCATACATCGAAGAAATTGTCGAAGCCACCAGTGCTTTCGCCCTCGCCGATTCTGCGGAACCTGCTCAGAGGAACCAAGCCCCTCCCATAGCTTTCGACGTCAGTCCCAGACTTCCGAACGATAAGCAAGAACAGCTCAAGGCCCTGCTCCTGCAATACGAAGATTGCTTTTCGTCGTCATCGAAAATTCGGCAGACCCCAATCACGAAACATCGAATCATAACCGAAGAAAATGCCAGACCACTCCGTCAGAGTCCGTACAGGGTTCATTAGTGAATACAGAGCAGTAAGTATCGTTTAAAGCATCAGCAGTTTCGGATTCTGGAACAGGGGAGCCAGAACTGTCACGCAAGAAAACAGAGCTACACACCTGGGGATTATTGTATTGCCAGAAGCGTTTCAGGTTAGTGTGTAACATAGAAAGCAATGTGGCAAAAAAAGGGCATGTTTGGCCTCTGCAACGCGCTTTTTGTACTGCGATTGACTGCAACGTTATATTTCTGGCACTGAAAGTCAGATTGAGAAGATGGGAAATGATTTAGACTCCAATCGAATGTTTTGAAGAAACCCGACGTTTCGGAACCGACTTGGTTCCTTCCTCAGGGGTGACTGCGGAGGCTGCATAGCAGCCGCGTCTTCAAAGCACTCGTGGGGTGGCTAACGAGCTCTCTCTCTCTCTCTCTCGTTTTGCCGTGGAGCGCAGTCTGTGTGAATACACTGAGGGAAGGGTTCCGAGAGAGTGGTTGATATTATGGGCTGTCCTCTGTATGTGCCACGACTCGAGTAACAACCTTCTCCTCCAATGCGGCTCGCTTTCAAGGATGGCCGTCGCTTCCCACCACTCGAGCAAGAACCTTCTCCTCCAGGTCGGCTCGTTTTCAAGAATGGCCGTCGCTTTTTCAAAGCGACGGCCATTCTTTTTTTGACCGGGGCCGCCAAGACACGACACAACAGGAATAAAGGTGCTTACCGGAGTGGTTGCGAACATCGAGCAAAACGCGAGTTTCGAACACAGAGCTGGTCAAACGAAAAGCAGAAAATGTCTCTTTTGCCAAACTATCGGACCTCTGTGATGCTGTGATAGTAAGCTGTCAGTGCTTTCAGTTTCGAATGAAGCACTTTTCTATATTTCAATATAATGCAACCTTCGTTGCACAGGACTTGGACCACAGGCATGGATGCGATGCCACTGCATAGAAACTGGTCCACTGGTAGCTCCTGCGGAGAAAGAGAAGTAGACCAGAGGAAAGGCCCTGGTCCAAATGAAGAAAACGGCTTCTGTCTGCATCCACTAGCCGAAAAGGCACTCGCTAGTAAATTCTGATGCTAAATGTACGCATGTCAAAGCGAAAATTCAGTAGCAGCTACTCAGATTTCGGCCAAACCCCTGAACAGTCTACTTCTTCTCCTCCTCTCATGGCTCATAACCAGTGCAGGGGATTGGACGAGTATTAGGTGAATTTTCTTTTCAGTATTTCTTCGCAACACTTCTCGTATAAGCTAGGAATAGCTAATGTAACGAACTTGACTGTGGAATATTAGTATTGAAATATTTCAAGTATGAAGAATTTAGCTCGATACTATTTTAGACTGACTGATAAATTCGTCTATGGTGTCCGCTTGGCTTATGAAAACATCATAAGCCAAGAGGGCAGGACCAGCTGAGCATCAGTTGATGATGATGACCTCATACGGATGGCGCTCCCTCACAAAGGGGGATGGGCCAAATACTCGGTGGCAGGATACTTAAAGTCATGAAAAATAAGTCGAGAGAAAACTGCAAATGAATAAAAAATGGTTGCTGAGCGAGCAGTCAAACCATCTGTTTCCTCGATAGAAATAACTATGAATTATAAGCCAAGAATCTGAAAAATAATGATAGACTAACACGGTTGAAGGCCGAGCGTGGGACGGCTACACCCCCTTTTTCATCATCGTTCATTATCGTAATTATCAACGCAATAATGCTGATATTCAACACTTTCATCAACACCATTCAAGGCCCATTGGCTTGACCACAGCTCTCTATCAATGTGTTCGTCATCTTCAATGTCATTAGTCATCGTTAGCAATACAATCATGTTTACAATCTAACTGAATACTCTCATCATCAGCAGTAGCATTGTTCAGGAGGCCTTTTTTTCTTGTTCATGACTCTGCTTCAATGGGCTAATTATCGATGCTCTCTATATTGAAACACTTGATTCTGCAAGTCAGCTAGAAAATTATCGTATATATGTCTTCGCGATTCAATCCAGGTCCTGAATACAGTTGAACCTCCTTAAGAGACATGCTCCGAGCAGCAGTCCTTGTCTTTTATATGAGATGTCTCTTATAAACAGGACACCTTGTATGCATTTTCTTATCAACCCATACTTTACTACAGGCGCACTGATGTCTCTTAGACCCATTTGTCTCTTATATCAGTGTCTTTTATAAAGAGGTTCGACTGTAAAGCAAAAATAAATTCTAAGCATATGTTATGTAGCCGTGGCCTACTGGCCACGGCACGAAAGGAACACACGTGCACACGCTTCGAGAACAGGCAAAGGAATGACGTTTATTATCTGCCGTCGTGTGTTAATAAAAGATCGTGGTGGGGGAGGAGAGGAGAAAGGGAACAGAGAAGAAAATTTTACGCGTGCGCAGTGAACAGCCAGTCTGTGACACAGATACCGATACAACACTTAATTCTGCCTTCTAAAATTGAAAGCGATAGATCGGCTGCCATGTTCGCATGGAGCGTTGTAGCACTTGAGCTGGTTCACTTGAAACTTCAGCTTCGGTGGACTGACGTGTCGGAACTAATTCAGGGGCAGGATCATCTGGGTCTAAAGTTTGGGAACTCAACTGTTTTCTCAGGCTTGTGTCAGGATGTGGCGCTGATTCGTCTGTGCTGACTGGTGGATTGTCCGAGCACATGTGTTCCGCTTGGACCTGTGCTTGCTCTTCTGCAGGCTGCCGGCGGACTTGATCGACATATGCCATCGGAAGATCGCCCCAGGTGTCTCTGCGATCACCATTCGAGTCCCAGATGTAGATATTGCTTGTTCTGGTGTCCATTTGCTTCCGGCCCCATAGTTGCGCACGTGCACCCGGCTGTTTACCTGAGGCACGTGCGCGTTTCTGCCTTTCTCATATGGTGCTCCTCCACTGTAGTATGTAAAACAGCTATCTAGAAGCGATCTGACCTGGAAGCCTAAAAAGGCATTTCTGATGGCGACTTCCCACTTTGCTGAGGCGTTCTTCTGTAGCCTTAAAACAGTCGTATCAGTCTGTGCTCCAATTTTCCTCCCTTCATCTTCTGAAGCCTATCTTTCACCATTCGTACGGCTCGTTCCACAGCCCCATTAGATTGTGGGTGGAACGGGGCTGTCCTAACGTGCGAGATGTTTTTCTCGACGAACGTTGCAAAATCCCGAATTGCGTCCCGTTATCGGAGACAATCGTTCGGGACACGCCAAACTGACTGAATATATGTCTCGTAAACAGCTGACTGTTGCCGCCGTGGTAGCTCATTGCTTGAGAGGGATGGCTTCTATCCACATTGTGTGAGAATCAATTACAAACAGAATCATTCCTTCTATTGGTCCGGCAAAATCCACATCACATGAATACGTGATCACTTCTCAAGTGTTTGTGGCCAGCTTGCTGGTGGTGTGATCGGAGGCATGGATAATTAGGTTGTCAATGCAGTTCTTGCATGTCGCCAACAGTCTCTCAATTTCTCGGTCCAGGCCTGGCCACCAAAACAAAGATCGCGCTATGCACTTCATCGCCGATGACCCTTCGTGATTTTTATGCAGGAGCTGCATTAAACATTTGCGCGCCCCTGAGGGCACAACAACTCGGTGGGCTTAATAGACTAACTCGTGTGACAAGAACAATTCAAGTCGGCGGTTAAAAAATGAAACCATGTCTGGTTCCACACTTTCGCGGCTCTTCTGGGCCAACCATGCAGCACGTATTGCTTGATGCGCGCAAGTGTCATGTCATGGATTGTCAGATGTTGTAGTTCCCGCGTCGTTACTGTGCCTTCATCCAGGCTATGCAAACAAAACACATACTCTTGTGGCTCGACAGCGTGGCCAGAAATCGGTAGTGTGAGCCTGCTGAGGGCGTCTGAATTCAGCATTTGCTTTCCGGGAGTGTACTGAAGCTTGTAGCGATATCCGCCGAGAGAAAGTGCCCGCCGTTGAATGCGGGCTGCTGCCATAGCAGGCGTTGGGCGGTCGGATCTGAGCAGTCCCACGAGTGGTTGGTGGTTTGTAAATATTTATTTTATTTATTTATTTTTTTCACAATAATGTTAGCCCTCTCTTGAGGGCTCTTACAGGAAGGGTACAACCAAATACAAACCAACCAATATACATCTATGTCAGATAGTAGAGCAATCAATTAATACCTGTGTAACACTTTTAAAATAGACAAACACTGCCTGGATTTACAGCAATGCCTGCCTACGCATTACAAGGCTTCAACACAGCTGGGAGAAAGAAAACAAAGAAACTCAAACCAAGGAAAAGTGTGAATTCACGACCGAAGAGATAGTCCCAAAGCTTAGTGACACGAAAAACTAGTGCCAGCGCCTCACGCTCCGATTGCGAGTAGTTCCTTTCGGCTTTCATAAGAGTTCTTGAGCGAAATCTAATCGGTCGATGAGCGGTGCCTTCTACGTGGAACAACATTGCACCAAAGCCATGAGGTGAAGCGTCACACTCCAATTTCAGTTCTTTCAATGAATCAAAATGGGCCAGTACCTCTGCGTTCTTGAGACATTGTTTGGCTTGGACAAATGCTGTTTCCTGTGGGTGCTTCCACTCCCACCGTGCATTTTTTTCAGCAATCAATACAACAGGGTTAACGTTGTTGACATGTTTGTTAAGAATCTGGAATAAAATGTCAACCTGCCGACAAACGACTGCAACTGACATGGTGGCTGAAAATATAACACCCAAACATTTTAAATTCTCGCTAATTTCTATACTTTGGCAATGCAACTTGATGTGAAAGAATGCGCTTATTCTGTGGCTTGAACATGACTGCTTTTGTCTTGCTTACATTTATTTTCATCAAATTTAATGCAGACCACTTCTCTACATTTTTCATTTTGTTTTTACATTGTTCTATTAAGTGATGAATATGATTACCAATGAAATAAATACTTGTGCCATTCGTGTAAACAATAAAATTTGCCTTAGGATTGACACTTATGATATCGTTCAAATAAATATTGAAAATGAGAGGCCCCAAACTACTTCCTTGTGATACTCCGCTTTGGACGTATCTGACCTTAGAAGTAAAAGTGTTGATTTTCACAATTTGGGTTCTGTTAGATAAGTATGATTTGATGAGAGATAACGCATATCCTCATATTCCCTAATAGCTAAGTTTTGCTTCCAGAATGTAATGCTTAACCTAATGAAAAGCTTTAGAAAAGTCGATGTAAATACCAAGGACTATTGATTTATTTTCAAGCCCAGTCAATATATATTTTTCTGGCTCTGCTAGTGTTAATTCCATTGATTTATTCCTACAGAAAGCAAATTGGCATGGTGTTAGCAGGTTTGCCCAGTGAAGGTTGCTATTCAGGAGTGGAAAACTTTTTTTTTTTTTCTGGAGTGGAAAACTGAACAGCCAACGTCTTCCTGAAACGAATTGTGCAATTATGTTGCTACCCACTCATTTTTTTTCTTTTCATATTGGTGTCATTGGATGTAAGTCACAAAACAACTAATGACCGCTCAGCACAAGCCGCCAGCCATGTTATAGATTGTCTCCGGTTGTGCTGTTATGATTGGGGGCAATCCTGCTGCGGCAGCCGCGCGGTAATAAAGGTACAATACTAGAGGCAAATGTACTTAGATTTGATAGCACATCAAAGAGCACCACATGGTCGAAATTTCCAGAACCCAGCCGTTCTGCAGTCCTCATAATCCTATCATAGCTTTATGATGTAAAAATTGAACAATTACTATTCAGATTATGCACGGTATGTGTACTCTTGTTAATTCACGAGCTAAGCAAGCACCAGCAATGACGCTAGAGGGTGCAATCAGTGCTGTATAAATAAAATACGCGTTCTGCTGATGATTAGATTACCGAAGGCTGATAACACTCATTGCTCCTGTCAGAGTACAACTCGCTTTGCTTGTAGTTTAAATTACTTAGTTTTCTGGGCACACGTTAGCTAATTGTCAAGTTTGATTTCTACCAAAGTGACTGCCACTTTTTCCACAGTCACCCCCATGCGACAACAGAATAGTCAGAGGGGTTTATGAGGTGCACATGTCCTCATGCTGAAGAAAATTGGTTGCATGTTAGTAAGTATACATAAATAACAAATGAGCTATGCCAGCCCATAAGAAGAATAAGAGTAATAGCAGCTTTATGGGCTCTCTGTAGGCCTGCGTCTATACGCAATGTTCCACTAAGATATCACTGCCAACGTTATTGCTGCTGTACGCAAGTGATTTGGTATTGCAAAATTGTCTTTGATGAACAAGCTGAATCTGTACCCCTCTATTTGCACCATCGTGCGAAAGCTTCTCATAGAAGGTCATGTGACTAGAATGCAAGCCACTAGCTGGTCGGTAAGCTCAGCACCAACTTTCATCAATTACAGAAATGACAAGCAAGAACTGCAGTCAGCAAAGTGTCTACAGAGCTGCCCTTTTCAGAAGCTAAATCAAAGCCTAATAAGTTTCTCAGAAGTAAACTGATTTACTTTAAAACAAAACTTTTGAGATACCAACAAACATTTGTTTAAAATGAAAAACACTTGAGAAATTTTCAAGGTGTCGTTTTTGTGCACACGCTTTCGCTACTAGATTGTGGGGGTCTATAACAACACTATTGCGAATGTATTGAAGTATCATAAAATACAATTGGGAAGTATCGTATTAGATAAACTTTTTGAGGCAGTACCTCGTATTGTATCGCGATACAATCTAAAAGTATCTTTGCCCAGCCCTGGTGCCTACAGTAAAAGACGGGTTGATCGAAAAATGCATACATGGTACCCTGCTTATAAAAGACATGTCATATATGAGACAAGAATAAATCCCCAGAGCATGCCTCTTATCAAGGCGTTTTAACTGTACTCCATGTTTCGCTCAACATGATCCCTGAGAACTGAAAAGAAAATTCAGCACATAGTTTCTCTAAGCATATTGTCTTATTTCCCACAGATTGTGCATTTAGGTGGGTGCATTTGATAGAAGGAGTGGTAAATGCTGCTACAATGTCACTTTTTATAGCTAGTTGAGTAAAATTTCATTTCGTTATGCACCATTCAAGTATCGCAGTGAAATTTACTATCTACAGTTCTACAAGGTCATCCTTATCCTGAGCACCCTCGCATTTTCGAATAGAAGACCTGTAGCCATTTCACTTTGCTATGGGTTTTGTAAAACCTAGATTCTCCCTGCTATGCCTAAGTTTTCCTAAAGGTAAATTCGATGGCTGCAGTCTGCGAGTGGTTTCTTGTCTTTAAGACACACATCTCTGGTAATATTTCATGGTATTCTGCATTGCTCAGCTGGCAGCGATGCATAGATGCGATATCGGCTTTTGTAAGCTCAGGTATTTCAAGCTTGTCAGCTGCACGGTTTAAAGAGGTCATCAAGTTTTCACCACCCTTTACAAAAGAAATTCCATGAACTTGTAGGCTTAGCCACCTACTTTGGTACTCTAGATCGTTCACTTGCCGTTGCATGTCCTATTCTGCAGATACATGCACCTTTTCACGTTCCCCTACTTCTGTCACTATTTTTCTTAATTCCTTTCAGTGTCTTGGTTCGAGATCTCTTCTTGAAACTTGCCAAACTTCTTAGATATAAACTGAATGGACTGTTGCATGGCGTTTACTTTTTCCATTAGAGCCAGCAAGCCCGCATGTTTTAGATTGATCGATGCTAAAACTAAATGTACAACAACTAAACTGTCACTGCGATTGGTCCACGGTCCCACTTGCACAAGTTCTTTGCTGCCTCTGATTAGGATTTGATTGATTTTTCATGCAAGCCAGCACATTCTCTAAGATGGTACATGTATGAACACTCATTGCACTTTGCAGACTCTTCTTCACGTGCAGGTAACAAACATCGATAAGCAACTGTCAAACAGGGCGCACAGAAAATTAACAAAGAGATACAGAACAATGCAAAGAAAATACGAGTTACGTCTGTTATATTACTGTATAGCAACAATGGCACCAGCGGCAGCAAAGGTATGAGAAAAAAAAGAGAAAACCGTTATGACATAAGGAGAGCTACTAACTTGCGAGATGGTGTATAGAGAATCAGACGTGTTACCAGTGCTGCTGCCACTGCCAAAATGCGGTCGCCTGAGATACCCACCATTGTATGAGGCTATGAAGCTTCAGGAAGCGCTTGCGCAGTCAGATGCTAGATGTTTTTATGAAATGCTGAAGTAATGCCAACATTTCAAATCGATTTTTTAGGCAATGCATTGGCTAGCTTTATCCCACATTGCTGATATGTGTTGTCCACATATGTGGATGCTGGGATACAAAGAGTTAAAATTGCCATCAAATATGCCCCTGATGCCAATACGTGCCATGTTCTTTCCGTTCTTTTTTGGGTTCTTACTTTAAAACATCCATGTTTCTATCAGGATAAATGTGAGCTCTCAAAGAAGTGCATCTTTGCCAGTTACCTGCTTAGTACGCACTATTCCTTTGGTTTTGTCTTTTCCAAATCAGATTTTAAGTGTAGCCACTCGCTGCACAGTTTTAAAAGCTGTACTAAAACTTTTTTAGAATACACTGCATCTCTCAACGTACAACAGAGCAGTAGAAGGACCTGCTATCTTCTGAAAGTGGACAGTTTTATGAAGTGACCACAGTCCTGGACCGACACTGCTGGTGACCTCATGAAATGAGAGTTTACTCCTCCACATTTTGCAACTGGATCACTGTACACCATGCTTAGCATTTTCTTGATCAATGCGCAGGACTGCTCGGCCAATCATAGCTTGGCTTGTCTTCCAGAGTAGCCCAGCTAGCACTTCATCCTGAGCTGCAACGGACGGCCTGCACTGGCAGCAGTTGTTGAAGTAAGCACCTCCAGCATCAGCCAGTTCTGGTGCCGTAGCACAAAGCACGGTTGTTGCAGCAGCTTGTTCTATAGATTTAGTAAATGGCCGCACCAGCAGGAAAAGAGCCCAATACAGCCAACTCTCGCGTGGAAGGCCAGTAAACACCATGTTTCCAGGATGTAAAGCATAGGCACGCACGCCCCTTGGCCCACACCGCCGGTCAAGTTCGGCCGCAAACAGCACGTTACAAAGCTTGGTGTCATTGTACGCTAGCATGGGATAGAAGCCTTGACCCGTTGGATTCGACAGGCGGTCTTCAGATAAGTTAGCACTTGACAGAAAGCTGAAGCGATGGCTCTCAGATGACAGTACGACGACGCGTGCAGGTGCTGAAGCAAGTAGCAGTGGTTCTAGCAGCATTGTTAGGTAAAAATGACCCAGGTGATTCACCTGCAGGTGGCAAAGCACAAACGAAGGCAAATGTGGGTAAAAATCTGGGAAGGTTACACTTATCAGCAAGCATCGAGTGAAGCCACACTACTTGGAAAACACTTAATATTAGGCTAAATATTTTCACGCTCCCAGAAGAGTAATACAGACAACACAATGCAATACCATCAGTGTAAGGAACGGTGTGTTGAAATAAAACAAAAAAAGAAAATGAAACCATATTTACAACCAGAATGAAAACGTAACAGAATCGTTTTGGAGCAAAAAGGAAATACCTTTCACTGATTTATGAACCAAGTGAAAAGTTGGCAGTCAGAAACAACCAACATAAAATAATGTGAGCAGTAATACATATCTCCAGCAGGGATTATAAGGTTTTTGAAAGATGGGGAACCAGCAGATGGAAACAAGTCGGCCATAGTTTCAATAGGAGAATCCATCTTATTGTCAAAAGCGCCTATTCACCTTCAGCTGTTATATATGGGTTAGTCATGGACGTCACTGAACAGAAAAGAAAGAAAGGTTTTATAGTGTCCTGCACCAATATATTCATGTGAGGGCTCTAAAAGCCAATTATCTACACGGTTGCAGAGCCAAAGATAACACATATCTACTGCAAATAGATGACATTATCAAAATGATGGGGCACTATTAGGGCAACATGGCTCAACTTTAATGTTCAACTCCTTTTACCCAGCAATAAAATATTCATTATATTCTGAAACTGAATGCATGAACTCCCTTCACAACAATATGTGTTGTATATATAATATATTTCATATAAATCCTGCATTTCCAACTTAACTTTATTTCACACAGTTTTTCATAGTCTTTTGCCCTTGCATCACACATATCAGCACTAGCACGAATCTCACATTGCACTTGATATGTTGCTCACAAGCACAATTTCATCATCTCTTTTCCGCCATGTAGTTGTGGGCTGAAACAGCTCTCCCTATAGTATCACTGCCATCATATGCCTTCACAAAGAACAAGGCCCTATCTTTTGTAATTACAACCCTAACGTAATACCCCTGTTTAGGGCCTTTTGGGCACAATGAGTGAATAAATGCATTCTGAACTGGGAAGACAATAGTGAATGAATGCATTCTGAACCTGGAAGACAACAGTGAATGAAAAACCTCATTATTAATGGTTACTTTGGGAGAGAAATAGCTGCCTTGTTTCTGTAATTTGCAGCAAAATATGTTGCCTGTAGATACACAAAATTAGAAACAATTAAAGACCATTATTATCATTTATGTCACAATTAGATTAACTGTTTTCAGTTCAAACATCACTTTGAACTTGACAGGTCATTTTGGTTTTCTCACAAATTCTATCCACAGCAGAAAATCTGTTAGCTAGTTGACCGTCATTTAATTTAAACCAAGATCCTGCTTTTGCTATTTTAATTGGAACATCAGAGAGCTAAATTTATGAAGTGACTTCAACTAGTATAACGTTTTGGAGTCTGCATGTACCTTGCACAAACTCACACATGACTGTTAACTTTTTTTTTTGTCTGAAACACAACAGAGCTTATACACAGTAGGAAACATATATCCAAGAAACCTAACCCCTCTGAACCTTTCAAATCCTTTCAACCAGCCAACGAAGAACTTCATACTAATACTAAACCTGCTTAAAATTTCTTCCTCAGAACTTTATCTACTACTCAAATAAAATATTCAAAAAGCCTAAAACCCTTGCGTGCCTTTAATTTTTACCCACGGAATTGCATGTATTTGGTCGCTGGATTTATATTGCCAAACACAACTCACAACTTTCAGAAAGTGCGATGGCACAGAAAAGTTTATATCTGAAATTGTGATGCAATGATAGACATAAATTATTTAGGCGACAATCATTCTTTCAGGTGCAAGAGAAACTGAGTGCAACTTGTCTAATACACTAACGCTTTCAAATGTATATTTCCTAAAACACTGAATGGTGCAAACATGGAAGAAAACCTGCACTTGTGTCTGTGTTATTTCTATGGGTGCTTTTGTGCACTGCTTCATTAATATAATTCCTCCCTAATTAGTTCACAAGTGCATATCAATAAGGAAAACTGCTCATGGCAATTTTTCTTGAAGGGGCCTTGAAACACTTTTTGAAGTAACCATGAAATTAATTCACTGGAAAAGCTTATTGCCTCACAAATTCAATGCCACACAAATTTCAAGAATCCATCCAGTTTGAGTGGAGTTACGAAGATTTGTTGCATGCTGCAACTGCATTATCTCTTCTCTCGTCCCGACGAAAACACTGGAAGCTAAGCAGGGAGGGATGGCAGGGTCAAAGAAAAACGTCACAGGCACCTCATAACCTTAAGCACTCTTTTTTTTTTTTTCGAATACGCGGCTTTTTCAGTGTGATCGCGCATGCACACATGAACAAGTCCCGGCCTCTTGCGTCGACAACTGAGCGCACCATGTTCAAATCAGCAAATGGCTGATAAATGGGCTTTTTACAAGTGACTTTTTAGTATATTCCTTGATTTGTCAAGACAAGAGAAAGCAATTTTTAGCTAACTTCGATAATTTATTGTGAATTCCAGGCTGCGTGTTTATTGTGAATTTATTGTGAATTTGGCTTGCGTGTTGTCAGGTGCCTCTAACTACCGATCATTTTTTACCATGCTCAAGAAGTGTTGCAGGACCTCTTTAAGTGTGCCCCAAGGGGTTCACACTCAAAATTAAGGTCATCCTCTTTTTTTTTTTTTTTTTTGAGTGTGCCCCAAGGGGTTTCTCAAATGCCTAAAAAGTATATATTTTCAGAATCTGTCATGTTAATTCTCCTGCAGTCACAAAATTGTCACTGTTTTGTCTGGCTTACTTCATTGATGGTGCTTTTTAAACTCTACCTGCACACAATGTTGTTTTTTGCTCCCTATTCATGAAGGACCAATCACAAAAACTAAGAGAGACACAACTGGGGGGTTCAATCACCAGTAATTGGATATGCCTTGAAAGGTACTCTTTTTGTTCAGTCATAAGGTGGAAAGTGCAATTCCTTTACAGCCTACATTATTCGCTTATACAAGTTCAGTATATTTCTAAAATGAAAAAAATGATAACAATGCCAGAATTGGCAAATCAGTGTAATGCAAGCATAGGATGACTTATATAATTATGAAAACAATTATTGGGGAAAATGGGTATATACTCTGGTTCTATGAAAAAAGCCTTTGACCAATTTGTAAACTTCAGCTCGAAGCTGCGCTAAATTTTTTAAACAAACCTGAAAGGTGCGTTCAAAGCCATCCTCGGTGACGGAGTACGGTATCGCGAACACCCCAGCGTTGAGGATAAGTATGTGAAGGCACTGCCGTTGCTGTGCCAAAGCTGTGGCAAAGTCACGCACAGACTTCAGGGAAGCCAGGTCTAGAGGCAGGAAGGACAACTTGGTGCTGGGCTTTTTGGCCTTGGCCTGGGCTATGGCTTTCGTAACAGCATCAGCTGAGCGGCAAGCAATGATCACATCGCAGCCATGTGATGCCAGTGTTAGGGCTGTCTCGAGGCCAATGCCTGAGCTGCCCCCCGTAATGACCGCAGTCTGGCCATCCAGGTTTCGTCCGTGCAGCACCTGTGGTCACCAAGGCAACATACGTGTGAGTCATCCTGTGACACATAAAAGGCTGTGAATGCAGCAGGAAGATTAGCTCGCTTGTAAGAATTTATCACTGTTCGCAGGCAAAAGTTATATCTTAAATTGCTAATTATGTCTAAAAATGCCCAACATAGCCAAACTGGGGAGCCTCTAAATTTATGAATTTTTTGTCCCTTTGTTGGATGATGGCTAGTTCTCAGATCGATTGAAGATTCTTTGCTCAAGAGCACCTTTGTTTTCCATTGCTTCTGTGCATCATCCTGTATGCATGTAAGATTCTCAGCCACGCACAATAAACAGTTGGCAGTGAGTGCTGTGTGTTTCTTGAGTGGAAGCAAGTGTGAATATAAGTGTTTCTATGGATTCATAAGTTGCACTAAATTTAATTACAATATGATGTCTACATTTAAGCACAGTCCCTAGGCTCTAAATACTCGATAAAAACAGAAATACTGCATCGCCCATGCATTTGATGTGTACTCTTTGCTTACCAAAATGGTCCAACTGCACACGGATGTCTGTCAAAGGACAGACATCCGTACCTCACGCCAGCAGAGCATCAATTACTACCGCTGAACCCTTTAGTTGTGGCGTGAAGGCAAAAAGGTTACGTGTCGCCAATTGGCCTATCACAACACACAGTGGCTGAATCAAAACCTTTCACTACTTATTCTTCAACAATCACTATATATAAAGAGGGTGCACCAGTAAGGGCCGTCATCGAGGTGGTCTGGCAACATTAGGCTGGGGATAAGGTCTGAACGGCAGCTCAATAAATCATCAGTTCCACTACAGTAGAAACACTCTGTGCGTGCCATTCTTTTACCTGGTGTCAGAAAATGTTCTGGAAGTCCGAATCCCGAGCCTAACTCGCTCATTGAGTATGGATAAACTGCCCTCTCCTGAAGTTTAGATTTTTTATGATAATGCAGGCAGAGAAATGAAGATGCTTTTGTCAGCGCATTGAACTTTTCTTCACTGCAATGGCCTCGGACAAATCGCGTATGTCAGCGCTAAAAGTTGCAACCTTCTTGATCATCACAGAACCTGAAGCAATCGAACTACTTAGTAGCTTACGGCTATTGTAAGTGTAACATAAGAACTATGAAGTAATTGTTATAGCTTTCAAGCAATATTGCACTCCCAGGACGAATGAAACTTGTGGCATATGCAATACTTCATCACTGGCATACAGCAGCAAGAACGCCAAAAGCGACACTTTTGCAAAACATTGTGTGCACAAAGGCCTGCATAGAATGTAACGCATACAGTAGCTATTACTTCTTTTATTCTTCTTATCTGCGGGTGTAAACCACTTGTTACCTATATACTCACAAACGTGCATTCAATTTTTTTGAGCAAGAGGACATGTGCACCTCAGAAACTCCTCAGACCTATTGTATTGTCACATGGTGATGACTGCGAAGAAAAACGGCGATCAATCTGGTAGAAACGAAACTTATTTATGGGTTAACTTGTGCCCAAAAAACTCAGTAGTTCAAAGAACAAGCAAAGCGCGCTGTACTTTGATAGCGGCAATGAATGTTATCAGCTTTCTGTAATCTGATCATCGGCAGAAGGCGTCTTGTATTTATACAGCATTGATCTCACCTTTCAGTGCTATCGCTGGTACACGCATAAGCTCGCAAATTAACAAAAGTATGCATACTGCACGTAGTCTTAACAATAATTGATCAACATAAAACTACTATGTACATGATTATGAGGACCGCAGAAGTGGAGGGCGCTAGAAATTCAGCCACGCGGTATTTTCAATGTACATGTGTCTCGAGCATCTCACCTCCACGGACATGTGGTCACAGCAGCAGGATTTGCTCGTAATCTTAGTAGTAGAGTATGAAACAATCTCAAAGTTTACGAAACATTGCCGGCGGCTAGCGCCGAGCGGTCGCAAGTTTTTTGCGACTTACACCCGATCACACCAAAATGAAAAGAAAAAAAAAGGAGTCCGTGGCAGCATAGTTGCACGTGTGGTCGCAGGACAACACCGCTATTCATGCTGTTGCCGCATATAGCTCTAATTTTGAGGCAATTGGTACTAGTAAAACCAAGTTAACAAATGAAAAAAAAATCAACTACATTCAAACCTGAATATAATGAAAACAGATATAACAAACTATTGCTTATAATGAAGTAAATAAAAATTATTCTTGTAATAGATGCAGTGCTGGAAATAACCTTTGTAATGAATTTTTGGATATAATGAATTTATTTTATTTTAGGATGCAACTTTGTTATAATGAGCTTTGAGTGTACTATAACTATAATAGAAAAGCCATTCTGCTTCAAGCATTCATGACGAATAAGCTGAGATTCACAAAACAGGTGGCGCTCCTGATAGGTATGGCACTTATTTATGAAGTATCGTCAACTTACTTGTGAAGGTAAGGCAATGAAAAAAATCAGTGGCTATGAAAAAATGCCTGAAACGGCTTGTCGGGTTGGACGATTTGACATAACAACGTTTCTTTAATCCCCTTTATGATGATGATGTTTGATGTTTTATGGCGCAAGGGCCATTTCACGGCCAAAGAGCGCCAGTTCATCTTACTAAAAACATGGACAATGATTGTGACAAGCGGCTGTATAAGGGCCATAAAATTCCTCGCGGTAAGGCGGGTAAAAACATACAAGTAATAAAATCATGACCATGTCGTGAAAGGTGTGTGTGGTGTGAATAGATGACAAAAGTTGGTGATAATAAAAGACGATGGTGGATATGTATGGCATTAGCACAAGTGCCTCACTCGTTCATACCCTTGCGTCCAAGGGCCGTGAGGCAAGTGCTTTCTTGTGTAACCACCGCAGCAAAAACCTCTCTGGAGAGGTCATGCTACGGGATGCCCGGGTATATGATATGAAAACTATGAATTTCTTTAAAAAACACTAACAATGATTTGTGACTAAAAAGCGGTTCCCTACCGACGAACATTGCAGGGTGTAAAGGTATATGTTGTCGGTAGGGTAATGGAAAGTGTTGTTTTCTTACAGTGTCCAATTGTTTGCACTCAATTAAAATGTGAAGGACTGTCAATACTTCACCACATCTGTCACACAATGGTGGATCGCCACCGGACAAAAGGTGTGTGTGTGTCGTGTATGTGTGTCCTATCCTGAGTCTCGTTAGTATTACCTCTGTATGACGCGATTTCGATACGGGCAGCCAATGACCAAGGTGTGGCTTAATAACGTGTAGTTTGTTTTGTCTGTGTGTATCCCACTTGCTCTGCCAGTATACTCTGAGGTTTCGTTTGAGAGACGGCTTAAGATCAACGGCCGGGATCGATATGGGTGTAGAGGCAGTGCTTTTGTGTACGGATGCAGCGAGCTGATCCGCCCTCACGTTGCCTTGAATCTCACGGTGCCCTGGCACCCAGCACACTACAACATGTTGTTTGAGTGTGTATAGTGTGCATAAAATGGAGTAAAGTGAGACAAGGACTGGGTTTTTGTGTTTTTTAAGAGTGTGCAGAGCCGTTACTACACTGAGGGAGTCTGTATAAATTACTGCTTTTTGTATTTGTAATTGCTTGATGTGTTTAGCCGCCACAAGTATCGCGTAGGCTTCCGCTGTGAAGATACTTGTGCCTGGATGTAGAGGGCCAGCATCCGAAAAGGATGGGCCGACAGCAGCGTAGGACACAGAGGAGTTAGACTTGGAGGCATCTGTAAAGAACTCAGGACGTGTGTATTTGTGTTGAAGTTCCAGGAAGTATGTTCGGATATGGGCAACAGGCGCATGTTTTGTAACTTCTAGAAAAGACACATCGCAGTCTATAGTCTGCCATTGCCACGGTGGCGGGTATGCTACAGGAGCCATTAAACTGTGTTCGAGTGACACTCCAGTGTCCTCAGCTAGACCCTTCAGGCGAACTGAGAAGGGCTGCCTCATTGAAGGCCTGTTTTGAAAAAGAATGGAGCTCGACAAGTCATTAATAGTAGAGTATGAGGGATGCCTCTTGTCTGCTTTCACCTTAAGGAAATATACAAAGGACATGTAGGTTCTTTGCAGATGAAGCGACCACTCATTTGACTCCACGTAAAGGCTTTCTACGGGGCTGGTGCGAAAAGCACCCGTAGAAAGGCGGATGCCCGAATGGTGCACGGGATCCAGCATCTTCAAAGCACTTTGAGTCGCAGACTGATAAACAATGGCCCCATAATCTAAGCGGGTGCGAATAAGGCTTCTATATAGGTTCATGAGACATTGCCTGTCACTACCCCACCTAGTACGTGACAACACTTTTAAAATATTCATGGCTTTTAAACATTTTGTTTTTAGATACTTGATGTGCGGTACGAAGGTCAACTTGTTGTCCAAGATTAATCCTAAGAATTTATGCTCCGTATTAACAGACAGACGTTGACCGTTCAGTTCAATGTCGGGTTCTGAGTGCATGCCTCTCTTTCTGGAGAACAGGACACACGTGCTTTTTTTTGGGTTCAGTCGGAATCCGTTTTCCTCTGCCCATTTGGAGAGCTTGTTTAAACCTAACTGAACCTGCCGCTCACACATTGCCAGATTGCAAGACCTAAAGACCATCGACCATCGACATATGTACAATAAAACATATTGCGAGGGATGGTCAAGCGCAAGGAATTCATTTTTATGAGAAAAAGTGTGCAGCTAAGTACACCACCTTGTGGCACGCCTGTTTCCTGGACAAATGTTTGGGAAAGAACCGTGCCAACTCGGACACGGAATGTCTGGTTTGACAGGTAACTTTCGATTATGTGAAACATTCTTCCGCGCACGCCAAGATGGGATAGGTCTCTTAGAATTCCAAAACGCCATGTTGTATCATAAGCCTTTTCGATATCGAGGAACACAGAGAGAAAATATTGTTTATGGACGAAGGCGTCTCTGATCTGTGCCTCGATACGAACAAGGTGGTCTGTCGTGGATCTACTCTCTCGAAACCCGCACTGAAATGGGTCGAGCAAATTGTTTGTTT